ATCTTGAGTAAATATGAGCACTTCCTAAAACACAAATTTCCATCAGATTCAAACAAGGGGCTTTGGGAAAAGTGGTCTATAACAAAAGGAGGCTTAAAAAAACCAGGGAGAATGGGCTGGAACGCATCACGTACAGCCATGAGGAGCTGAAAAAGGCCCAATTCCTTAGAAAAAGAGAGACAGTGGATAAAAAATGTTAGGAAACTAGAGTAGCTGTCCTAGGGCACCCAGAGTGACTGGGCTAGAGCTTGGTTATGCCCTTAATTTCAGGGCAACAAAATCTTCAACATTTAATTTCCTCTAAGGCTGGAGCATAGAGGAAAACCTTATTCATCCTGAAAGTACAACAGAGTAGGACTAAGACAAACATATACTGGCATTTCCCTTTGTGATCTTTCTAACTGTTGTAATTTGTTTGTAAGATGACTCACATGGTTATATTCCTTACACCCGAAGTGGCTGAGTGCCTGTTGGGAGCTCTGATGGCTCAGCCCGGGAGAGGGTGCTGATGAACGTAAGCACAGCTCCGGCCCCGAGGTCCCGGACTGCAGATGGGAGCCCCTAGTGCATTAGCTGGTTAGTTGGTTAATGGTTAGGGTTGCCTTTGGGAACTATTTTACTTTAAGCTACTGAAGCACTTCCTCCTAGCTCCTCCTAATCAATGCCTATTCAGAACTTCCTGGCATTATCTTTTGAAAAGGTCACCTTAGGAAAGAGCTAGCCCAAGCACAGAAGGCCCTGAGCTAGACAGCAGCCCATGACCCACCAACACTGTAAAGGATCAGAGCTGGGACCAGTTCTCAGTTTTGAGAAGCATATGGGAGGCATGGAGTCAGAGCCTATCATACTGTATTGCAAGAATGGGCCTCATCTCCAGAAGCCCAGGCTGAGGCAGCTGATGAGGAATTCGGCCTGTGGTATTGAGCAGGGGAGCTGACCCACGTGAAGTTCCCATAAAACAAAAATACACTGGTGTCACCACTGCTTGGTGCAATTCAGGTAGCCACGAACTTGTGACTGGAAACCACATAGGTGGCTGTGGTAAACACAGACAAACTATTGTTTCAAGTAGGTTGTTTTTGGCACCAAAAATAAAGTCATTTTTCCTCCTCCCCCATAAATCAGTTTATTACTAAAAAGCTTTTGCAGCCTTGTGAACTGGACTAGACTGATTTAAGCCTGTTTCCTCCAGGGCTCCTCCTCAGGATACTAAACTGGGGGAGAATTTGCCTGCTTTGGAAAAGGGTACTCTCTGTACTGACCATAAAAGAAAGAAAAAAGGAAATTACTCAAAAGGAGAAAATGCCAAGAGAACCAGAAGAAGCCGAGCACTGAGGGCCGGATAGGAACGCGCACCATTCCCTCTTCGTAGACAGCGCCACGCTCTGCCTAGGCTCGCACATCTGTCTGGCCTTGGCCCCGTCCCTCAGTCACCCTCTAGCGCAGGGGTTCCCAGACTTGAGTGTGCAGAACAGCTGCCTTGGGCTTTATAATTGTCAGTCAGAAAAAAGGAAATCTATGGTGCAGCTCCGAAGCCCAAGGACCCAGGGCTTCTAGGAACCTAGTTTGCCCCAAAACAAGGGGAAACCCTCAGTCTCTCGATGATAAAACTTCAGAATATAGTCACTTGCAGGAAAACAAAACAATAAATCAGCTTTAATACACTCAAGGTACCTTGGGGAAAAAAAAAAAGAGCAAGACCACAATCAGGAAAGAATCCAAATCAGTGACAGGTTGAAGTTTAATAGATTAGTTACACCTGTAAGAAAAAAGGGGGCAAACTACTCCAAGGAAAGCAGGGCACTATGGAAAGAAGACTCCTTATGGCTTGTGCAGGAGAAAGAGGATCTTCTCTCAAAAGTCAGACCCTGAGACCTTGTCTTATCTCTCCAGGCCTCTCTCCACCTTTCTAAAGTTTTTCCTCCAGGAAAAAAATGAACTTATGCTTGATTTTCAGATGATGACCAATCCCTATGCAAAAACTCTGACACAACTTTGTGACTGACTCTAGACCAACTGCATCTGGAGGGGAAACATGCCAGAGAAACACACTTTTACCTTCATGTTTCAAAAGACAGTTTTGACAGGAGGTGCCTATGAGATGCCCACAGTGAAGGGACATTTCTGGTGTTTTACTCACACTTAACTATGATAGTGCCAGGTGGCTCTAGGCCCAGAGCATTTAGCAGGGTCTTGTTCTCCTCTACCAGGCATCCAAAGGTCCTCCATGACGGACCCTCAGGACAAGGCTTCCACAAAACCTACCTTTCACTCTGGCTGCCTTCTCCTATCTTTCTTTCCCTGGATGCCTAGAGCAAGGAAAGGGAGTTCTTCAAGATATTTTGCCAGAACCATGGGCATTTCCTCCCTACCGTTATATAAATCTCAAGATACATTTCAGGATTCAGCTCAGATACCTCCAGTTCCCATGTGCCTTCCCTGACTGCCTAAACTTCTTCCTCAGGGAACTGTCCTTCTGAATCTGTGCAAAACTTCTGAGTTTAAATGACCACTATAGTTAATTCTCAGCCATCCAGGGTTGGACCAGCCATAGCAATCAATCAATCAATCAATGGTATAATATCATTATTATTTAAATATCTGTAAAAAAACCCAATAAAATTCTGTCAAGTCAACAAAACCATGTACCCATTAGAAAATATCCAGTTCAAAAGTACCTTTGTACCCCTATGTTCATAACCGCACTATTTACAATAGCCAAGTGCCGGAAACAGCCTAAGTGTCCATCAGTTAGTGAGTGGATCAAAAAAACTGTGATACATTTACACAATGGAATACTACACAGCAGAAAGAAAGAAGGAACTCTGACCTTTTGCGACAGCATGGATGGAGCTGGAGAGGATTATGCTAAGTGACATAAGCCAGTCAGTGAGAGACAAATACCATATGATCTCACTTATAAGAGGAATCAAATAAACTAATGAGCAAAATAGAATCAGAGGCACAGAAACATGGAACAGGCTGACAGCGGCTAGGCAGGAGGGAAGAGGGGCATAATGGTGCAAAGAAGGGGGAGGACTGGTCGAAGGACATGTATGAATGACCCATGGACATGGACAGCAGTGTGGGGATTCACTGTGGGGGAGTGGGCTCTGCAGAGGATGGTAAAGGGGGAAAAATTGGGACAACTATAATAGAACAACAATAAAAAAAAAGAAGGTATCCATTGACAGGAAGTACACAGTAGCCCACAGACATCATCATGGGTCTGTAACAGTGTGGGGACAGCCCCATTTTATCACCCCTCAGACATGTACTTATTATGTTGGTGCCCAAGGTGTCACTGTGTGAGCATTAATTCTAGGGCCACACAACTTGATGGGAAGCTGTTAGTAAGTGACTAGGCTGTCATATGTAGAAGCCAAGGCTAGAGGCAAATGAGCAATGACAACAGTGGAAAGGTGACACAGGAGATAGGGCAGCAGGGACGCTGGGGGTTGAGGGCTCCCTTCAAAGATCACTGGGCTCATGGCAACACTTTTAGGAAGAGGAAAGGACAGCTCTCAATAACACATGAAACTGCCTAGGCTTCATTTTAATATTGGGGGGCAGTGACAGAAAGCTTGAAATAAAACAAATAATAGAACATATGATATTAACACCAGACCACTTTATTTTTCAAGAAACTTATAGGAGGTTTTGTCACCCTGAACTATTAGGATTGTAATGTTTTTACACATTAGGACAGTATCCACAGAACAGTGAACATTTTCCGAAATACTGGATTTTTTATTAAATAAATGTCGATAGTCCTCACTAAGAGTATATTAATGTGCATTTCAAGTGCAATTTGACTGTAACAACTTTTTTTGTACTCTACGTGTCTTAATCAAGAGTTACCTCTATTTCACATGTATTTTTTTTCCTCTAAAACAACTGGGTTTGTATGAGCAGGAATCTTATCTTGTAATTCATGTTTTTATTATTTCATGAGCATGAGTTTAGTGCTCAACAAACAGATGCTCAAATATTAACAGGGTTACCGTTGGGCACAGGGCCAGCTCCCCCCCCCACCCGCCCCATGAAGGCTTCTGGCATCAGCACATCACCAGCTGCAGGAAGATGCTCACAATCAAAATAGCAACTGACGTGGGGACACATGAAGGAGAGGGAGCTAAAATAGGCCCCAAAATCCTCCTTGGTAAAATCCAGAAACACTACCACTCCTTTGTCCTTGGGGATACCTTCCTATAGGACACATTTCTCACTTTATGGGCTTTATGCCACTATTGGGTGAGCGTCCCATATTTCGCATTACAGCATAGTTCCTTAAAAGGCAGTGTCAGGTTCTTGTACATTTTCAAATATACTCCTGCAAAATCCTGGGAGGTCTTCTGTTTCAAAATTCAAAGGATGTGGGTGTTATCCAAAATCACAGGTGGAAAAATCAAGTTAATGAGCAAAATTCTCTTCTTTAAGTTCTCTCATCTTTTTTTTTCAAAATTTGTGGTGTCCCCTACTCCTTGTCTAATAGCAACCACAAAATGAATAAACAAGTAGCAAGCAAACATAGAAGAAAAACTCAGCTTGCTGTTTGATAGACCTATGTATTTGTGAATATGATTTTATATTATTTTTAGCATCCAAATATAGTGTCATGGACTGAATGTTTGTATTCCCCCAAAACTCAATTGTTGAAATTGTAACCCCCAGTGTGATGGCATTAGAAGGTGAGACCTTTAGGAGGTAATTAGGTCTGGAGGTAGAGCCCTCATGACAGAGTTAGTACTCTTATATGAGGAGACATAAAAAGCTTGCTTCTCCTCTCTGCTCTCTACCATGTGAGAATGCAGCAAGAAGGCAGTTGTCTGCAAACCATGAAATGAGCCCTCATCAGTAACTGAATCTGCCAACATTTTGATCTTGAAATTCCCCACTTCTAATACTGTAAGTAATGAATGTGTATTCTTTAAGCCACCCAGTCTCTGACATTTTGTTATGGAAGCCCAAACTGACTAACATACAGAAAGAGACAACTTGTGCTCGCTTCGGCAGCACATATACTAAAACTGGAACAATACAGAGAAGATTAGCATGGCCCCTGCGCAAGAAAGAGACAACTTTATGCTTAGTAATTAAGTATACACACATACACAAACATGGAGAGAGAGAGAGAGAGAGACAGATGACATAGATACATATATTTATCTATATATACACACACATAGTTGTTCCTTCTTCTGGATAGGAAATACACTCCAGCACCCTACCCCCACCCCCAGTGGATGCTTGAAACCACAGATAGTACCAAACCCTATATAGAGTATGTTTCTTCCTGTACATGATAAAGTTTAAACTATTCTTGCATTTTGGGGCCACTGCATTAAGTAAAATAAAGGTTACTTGAATGGGAGCACTGTGATATCAGGACAGTCGATCTGACAACTGAGGTGGCTACTGACTAATGGGAGCGGAGTGTACACAGTGTGGAGATGCTGGATAACAGTATGATTCATGTCCTGGTGGGACCGAGGGGGATGGCGTGAGATTTCATCACACCCCTAAGAACGGCAACGCACAATTTAAAACTTTTGAACTGTTGATTTCTGGAATTTTTCCATTTACTATTTTCCAGCTGTGGTTGACTGCAGGTAACTGACACCACAGAAAATGAACCTGTGGGTAAGAGGGGCCTTCTGTACATACATGTATATATATCTCTCTCTCTATATATATACACATATATACATATACGTGAGGTCTGTCAGAAAAAAGTCCAGCCATTGCTAATATAATGCGAATGGTTTGCATGACAACGATGCAATCTGGCAGCTAAGGAGAGTGGAGTTGAATGCACATGCGTGAACAGTGATGACTTCACTGTACTGGTCAGTGGGGGCAGTAGACACCAGCTGAGTGAGCATGTGTCCTGTGTGGCCGTTGCATTCAAAATGACTGAGCAAGTAGAGCAATGAATCTGCATCAAATTTTGCATTAAGCTTGGACATTACTCCACAGAACTATTTGGATGATTCAGAAGTCCACAGCTACGGGCAACTGGTGATTGGGAACTTGATCACAACAATGCACCCACTCATGCATCACGTCTCATATCACGTTCTTTGGTGAAACATCAAATCACCCAGGTGACCCAGTCCCCCAACAGTCCATATTTAGTGCCCTGTGACTTCCAGCTTTTCCCAAAACTAAAATCACCTTTGAAAGGGAAGAGATTTCAGACTGTCGATGAGATCCAAGAAAATATGACGGGGCAGCTGATAGCAATTGGTAGAACTGTGTGAGATTCCCAAGATGCCTACTTTGAAGGGGACTGAGGCATCTTTGCCTTATGTACTACGTTTCTTGTTCTTCTTCAATAAATGTCTCTATTTTTCAATTACATGGCTGGATACCTTATGGACAGACCTCATATATTAGTACATATAATATCAAAATACATAATGTCCTAAGCTGAAAGACAGAAGAGAATGTAACACTTGGACATTTCACAGTGTGTCTCAAGGAGCGCCATGACTTTCTGCAATTGTCCTTAAACTTCAACAAGTCTGAAACCACCACACAAGTATATTTTTACAGGCAATTCAGGAGGAATTCTAAATGTACAGTTGCACAACGAAAAGAGAACTAAGGCCCTTGACAGAAGAGAGCGCTCCATTTCCTTTGCCAGGGGCGGGTGGGGGTTCCCAGTGGATGGTGGTAGGCACGAAACAACCATCATGTTCTGCCGCCTCTTTGGCCTCCTAGACACAGTCAAGCCATCCAGTTCAGCACTTGGTGAAGACAAATATTTTCTACTGCTCTTTACTGGCTTCACATGAACATGTTTTCACAAAAATAAGATTATTATGTAAGGCCTTGCTCTTTTTCCTAACTGAATAACAAACACCAAACAAAAAACCTATTGATGTACAAGTTGCATTTCATAATAGTATGCACTCGGGTTGGGGTTCATTCTCTGGCGTGCTCCACCCATCAACCTCCTGACGGGTAAAAAGGTGATGGGCTGGGAGGTCATGGGTCCTGCCTGCCTCTGGGCCACTCTCACCTCCTTTCTCTCATCTTTAAGTAATATTTCTGGATGCATGTTACAGAGGTGGATCTCCAGAACTTCAAGTATAAGGAGCTCCTTTATTATGTCATAAATTTCTGTAACACCCCCCCATTCCAGTAGTTGCAAGTTTAGTAGGACAAACTGAAAGGCTACTATGAATTCAGGAGTGCATATCAGAACTTTACATTTTATAAGTCTCAGCTCTTAGAAGCATTTAAAGTAACTGTGCATTTGTGAGCCCCGAGCTAGCCTGCAGGCACGCTGAGAACAACGTGAATCCCTTCGCCCCTGTGATAAGTCTGAAGTGCATGAACCATGGTGTAGCACTGTGTCAAAGCCAGGTGCACACGTGGGCAGGCCCTCCTCGGTCCCTGAGGGGCATAGATGGACCTGCTTGCTGGCTGCACCCTGAGGTGGTGCCCCAAACAGAGGCAACTTGACTGCACTCGCACATGTCCCAGGTACCAAACAGGAAAGCCAAGCCAGGCCTTTTCCCTGGAGACTTGGTCACTGCAAAGAAATGTCAGAAAAAAGTTGCTAAGCCAGGCTGAAAGACAAGCATTTTTGTAGGGAGGTAGCAGCAGCAGGAACAACAAAAACAACAACAACAACAACAACAACAACAAAAACACTAGGAAGAGAGAAAGAGAGAGAGATGATTAAAAATCTGGTGCTGAAACTTCTAACCCTGACATAGTGATCAAACTGTGGTCGACTCAACCCTTCAAGTGAGGGAAGCAGGGACTGATGCAGGAGGACAGTGCACCCCAGAAATCACAACCACCTTCTGAGCCTCTGAAACTGGGAGAAATAAGCCAAGAGGCCCCAAAACTGACGCCACTTAAGCATGTGCCTCGAGTCAACACATGCAAATATTAAAACGCATCTTAGGATAACCAGAAACTGGATGTTATTCTAGGAAATGTCATAAATTCTGGTTCTCACTGTTACCTGAATTTTAGTCATTCTTTGAACAGGTAGCTATTCTTAGCAACTGTGTGAGACAAATGCATGAAAAACAGGTTTTATTGGGGATAAAGTTTAAAGTTAATAACACTAGCAACAGCAACTAGTTCTCATATATCATTTAACATTTGCCAGGCACCGTCCTAAGCACTCTATACATATTAACCACTTAATCACCACCACTAACTACTCTTATTATCCCTATTCTACAGATGAAGCAACTAAGGCATAGAGAGGTTGCTCAGGGTCACCCAGGTGGTTAGTAGCAGCATTTGGCTCAAAAGTTCCCACTCTCAAACACTGTGCTACATGTACTACTGATTTAAAAATAGTGTAAAAGCTTTAAGAAAGAAAAAAACCTGTTCACAAGATTCTGCATACTTCATAATTAGTATCTCCAAGATAAATCTATATATCTTTTAATAAATCTATATGTCTTTTAATTACCACAGATTTTTTTTGTGACTTCTCCACCAAGGGTGAAGTGAATCTGCACCACTGTGAGGGTCTAAGCACGGTTGTCTATCCCACACCTGGTGCGAAATCTTAGGAATCTCCCCCTAGCTCTGGGGGCAGGGTTAGCCACCTTGTGCAGATGCCCCTGAGCCTGCCACACGCACACCGAAGTCCCTCCTGGGGCTGCCATTAACCTTGACATCAGTTTAACTTAGTTCACCGCTACCGAGCCAGACCAATGTGACCTTAGCGTTATGTGCAGACACAGAAAACAGAAATTCAGGTAACAGTGAAGGGTTAAAAGACTTTTAAATAAAAGTAATTTAAAGGTCCAAGTATAAGAGATTGGAACACAAAATTGAGGGGAGAAATGGAGAGAAATCCCGAGGTTTTGCTTCAAGAAGGAAAAGCACTCTGGACATTAGTACTTGAGGGTTAAAAAGCAGCTCACAGAACTCATACCTTATTGATAGGGAAAGAAAATAGTATGGCCACATTGAAAATCAGTTTGGCCATTTAAAAAAAAAATAAAGTTAAACATATACTTACCATACAACTCAGCATCCCCACTCCTAGGTATTCATCCAAGAAAAAAATAAAACATATGTTCCCATAAAAATGTGTTATGAGAGTTTTATTCATAAACACCATAAACTAAAAATAACCCAAATACTCATCAACTGGTGAATGGAGAGGCAAACTCTATATCCACACAATGAAATACTAAATCAACAAAAAAGAACAAACTACAGAATACATGCAACATGGGTGACTCTCAAGTGCATTAATCTAAGTAAGATTCAAAAAGCAATATACTACTTGATTCCATTTATATGACATTTTGGAAAAGGCAAAACTATAAGGATAAAAAACAGATCAGTGGTTGCCAGGGGCTGAGTGGAAGAACTGATTACAAAGGGGCACAAAGAAGTTTTAGGGAGATGAAAATTTATATTTTGATTATGGTGGTTACACCATTGGATGCACCTACCAAAACTCACAACTGTATACTTTTAAAAAAGAATGAACTTTACTGTATGTAATTTATATGTTAATACACCTGACTTTTTAAAAGTAGCTCAGAGCACTTATGCCAACAAAATTATCTCCTGGAATGGGGTTCTTTTATCTTCTACAAGATTCTACAAGCCATTTAGCCAACCTCCTCTATTAACTCCTACCTCCAACTTCTTCTCATACAGTATATATAGGGAGATTACTGGTTGCTCATTTGTAGGAGAAAAAGCTCCTTTAGTCATATAAAATTTCTTAAAGTAACCTCTGAGTGTTTACATAATTATTGGAACTCTCCCACATTAAAAATAGACTTTAGTATGTGGCTCTTTCTCCTGGTGCTAAAAATGTGCCCGCTAATCACTAAGGAAAGAAGCCAGGTAAGGTTCCAATGGCTTTGTTTGTCTACACAGATCGTCTCTATAAAACCATTAAATAGCCAGGAAGCTCAGGTACTGTGATTCTTATATTGAACTCGTTGAAGGTAAACCTAGGTTAGTGCTGAAATCTTCAGGGAACTAAATCTAAGATAAGCTTTGACTGTTGAATGGCAAACCTTTAGTAGGATAGGAATCTTTGAAAAACATGTAATACTGAACAACATGACTGTACTATGATTTGGACTCCACAGGAAGCCCA